GGGGGGGGGGGGGTTGCTTGGGTTTATGTTTGCTGGGTATGTGCTGCTGGCCTCGCAAAACGAAACTGCTGATAACGACTTTTAGACACTGGAGAAGTGTAAAAAACAGCGCGATTCTTAATTACCCAAAATTTTGACCAGAGTCTTTGTTCTCTACCGTAACTCCCCCTGATGTAGAAAACCAAGACTCCCCCTTCAAAATCACTTGGAAACGACTCGAAACTGCTAAAAACGACTTCTAGACACTAGAGGATTGTGAAAACGAAGACCCTGTCAAGTGTCTAGAAGTCGTTATATTACAGCAGTCCAGCATCAGCATCATCATCGTCGCAGTCATCATCATTATTTCAAAAGTTGGCAAATTTCAAACGTTGCCTCAACATGACTGTTAACTGTACCAAGATAGTAAATAGACCATGGAGAATAGAATGAACATTTCAAAAGCATTTGGCAAAGTTCCTCATCGCCGACTTATAACAAAACTTGATTATTACGGAATTCGTGGCTCACTACTTCACTGGTTCGAATCGCTTCCAACACAGCGTACCCAATCAGTAGTAACTGAGAGGGCATCATCTTCTCCTGTAGTCACGACATCCGGCGTTCCCCAGAGAACGGTCTTAGGATCGTTATTGTTCTTAATGTATATAAATGACTTAACTGATGGTCTTAACTACCGACTTTTTTCTGATGATGCACTGTTATATGGAAAAATCTGTTGTGATAAAGATACAGCCGATCTACAGGATTATCTATATAGATTAGCAGCTTGGCAGCGAAAGTGGAAACGGAATTTAATCCTTCAAAGTGCAAGATCATATGCTTTGCAGGCAAGAGAGATCCACCAAAGCAGGAATACGTATTCTGTGGAAAAATTTTAGAAGAAGTGGAATCTCACCCTTATCTCGGAGTAGCGCTTGATGATAAAATGAGGTGATCCCTACACATCTGAGGCAAATAATGCGGAACTGTCCAAAGTCAGTGAAAGAAACCACGTACACCGCACTTATGAGACCAAACCTCCAGTGTGCCTGTAGTGCATGGGACCCGCACAACCAGAAAGATAAAGCTGCTTTAGAAAGGGTGCAGTGAAAAGTAGCCCGCTTTGTCCCCCGGAGGGGGGGGGGAGGGGGAAATTTAGGAATTTCTGGGTGGGGATGTGCCGCTGGGACCTTGGAACCCTTAACCTATACCAGAGCTAGTTCAGCTGAATTTTGCTACCCTATACTAAAGTAAACTCTCCAAATCCCCCCTATCCTAGAGTAGCTGTTTCCCTAGTCTAGATAAAATCTGCAACCATCTGGTCAGTTTCCTGAAAAATGATACCTTATTCTAGACCCAAACGCTCTGATTTATATACCCTATCCTAGAGTAAACTGCTTGAAAACCATACCCTTCACAGCGACACATACCTATACAGCCCATATATGGCAGTACCCCCCGGGGCTTTGTCACGGGAAATGACGATGGAACAGCGAGCGTGACGGTATAATGCTGCAAGATTTAAGGTGGGACACACTTGAAACAATGAGAAAACACGCAAGCTGTCAGTTATGTATAACATGTGCTATGGCTTTCTAGATGAGAAATGGGAGAACTGTTTGATTCCAAATAGAGAAAGGAGAACATGAGGAAGCCATGATTTTAAATTCATTGTACCGAAAGGATAGGTGGATATTTTTAGATTTTCTTTCTTTCCTAAGACAATAACTGAATGGTACAAACTCCCGAAAGAAACTGTTATCTCTATTCTTAAAAGGAAACTGTTCAAGGTTATCTTTTACTGACAGGTCAAGTTAATTTTTATTTGCGACTCTAGCTTTTATTATCATCTATATTTTTAGTGTTTTAGAGCTGGCGTGATGTCCCTCTTGGATGTTGCCGACAAAACCATATTTAGATCTAGAATTGCGTTCTTCTCCTTTGTCAAACACAATAGGGCCATTTATACGAGGAAAAATAAGACGCGTCTTACATAAGACGCGTCTTAAATAAGACGCAAACTGTACCATTTATACGAGCATGTCTTATCTAATAAGACGCGTCTTAGCTAAGCCGCGTCTTATTTTAGACGAAATGTGCCGTTTATACGGAAAGTTCGCGTCTTATTTAAGACGCGTCTTATTTTTCCTCGTATAAATGGCCCTAATGACACGATCNATGTCTTATCTAATAAGACGCGTCTTAGCTAAGCCGCGTCTTATTTTAGACGAAATGTGCCGTTTATACGGAAAGTTCGCGTCTTATTTAAGACGCGTCTTATTTTTCCTCGTATAAATGGCCCTAATGACACGATCCTCTGGTTCAAAACCATTACAAAGTAAATATATCCAAAAAAATAACACAAAGACCAACACACAGTAACCACTGTGTTTATTATCATTGTATATGGTATTTACAGTGATCTTTTCACTTGCTGTTTTTGACTGCATCTTCTTAAAACTACGATGAACTTAACTACTTTCAGACTGTTTACAATTCACTAAAACTTGGACAAGCATAAAGGACTGCCTGGAAATGACACCTCTCCAATACAGCCATTCTTAACCCCCTTGCACAGCTATTCCTTCTCAGATGGATACTGTTGGAAATGTACTAGTAGCATATGCTCAGCTAAGAGAGGCATTGTGCAGAAAGAGTTGAAATTCACTGCATTGGGAGGGACCAACTTTAGCTACCATAAATCCTCAATAAAGACTCCAGGGACGGCTCATTTATTTTAAACACGTTTGGGGGAGAACTTAATGCACAGGGAGGACTTATTTAATTTAGCAAATTGGGAGGGAGGTGGGGGTCTATAATTGTTTTTAAAATAACTAGAAGACGGTGTCACATTTTCAAAAAGAACTAGAACAGTGACTGGACAAGCTCTAGAAAATGACATTGGAGGTCATAGAGCCCGATATCCAAAAAAACATAGTTTGAACTTCCACCAAGTGGATAAACCATACCAGATCATTCAACTTGAAGTGTCAGTCTTGATTGATTATTACAGTCTAGCATTTATTAATTTGGTTTTGAAGAATAAAGGGGGAGGGAAGGATGGCTTAACAACTTCCTTCCCCTGAAAAAAGGGGTCTTATCAGAGGGGGGCTTTTTTGAAAGAGTCGGAGGAGGGCTTAAGAGAGGAGTTACGTTACATGTTTTAAATAGAAAGCTGTATGTTGAGGTTTACTTTTATCGTTAGTTAAAATTTTGTTTTCCTTTGTTTTTGGACATGTTAACGAATGACAAGAGCTTGTAGCAAAGGAAAAGAAAATTAGAACCATAAGGATAAAATTGAACCATAACATCTGCCCCTCAGGTGATGTATGATGGAAATTGGACTGAATCTCCAAGAGAATCAAGTCAACTGACTGCCAGCAGTAGGCCAATATTTCATGCGAAGTAAATGAGACCGTTATATATCTAAAAACACATAGCCAAATGTCGGTTTACATCAGTGGTTCATTAGCAAATGTTTCTCATAAAAAATAATCAACTCTGAATGCTGAAAGGACAAAGCAAGAGAAGCTATTCAAGAAAATAGGAACCCACTTGAAAAAAAACACCTTGTGTGGAATAGTGTTTCAAATGAAACAAAATTTATAAAACAGGGTGTCTTTTTGGAGCAGAGGACTTAAAAATAGTGTCAAGGTTGGCCATGAGCAGTCTACATATCTGGTACCAACAATTTTTTTTTTACAAAAAAAAACTAACTTCATCGTGATGTCAGTTTAAAAATTACTCTATTCTAAATGTGAAACAAAATTAATCAGGGTCATAAAATAGGGTCTCTGTTTGTAAACAGAGTAGCAAAATGACCGATTTTTGTCTTAATTCGGGTTAGCGTTTGATGGCCTTGGCGGCTCACCTCTACCCAGGTTTGTGATTGGCTGAAAAAACAATAGGGATGGTAGCATAACAATGCTCCTATCCCTGAAAACAATAGGTAGAGCAGGTTATAGGGACCAATGAAATAAGAGGTTTGGAAGGGTGCAAGTCAATAGCTTCCTTGGCTACCCCCTCCCCCCCCACCCCCCGGATTCAAATGAGTCACCATCTTCCTTTTAGTTGAAAATAGGGGGCAAGTACATTAAGTTATGGTCCATATAAGAAGGAAAGCAACAACACAAACGAACATGCCGAAATGCAACATGGTGCTGTAACTTCTCTTTTGTCTGTACTATGCATGACTGGTTCAAACAACAAAAATTATCAAAACTTGGTAAAGGAGTGTGTACATTACTCCTTAGTTTTCTAAACACCCCCCTTCAGACAAAATCTCAACTGAGTCTAAAAAGCACAAAATCCTATGTGAGGAACTCGTGAAATAATATTGTGAACTTTTCTTGGCTACTGTCTGCATCTCTTGTGATTAGTCAAAATCTTTTTAAAACAAAGAAAAACCCGTTCAAAATGGCATTAAAAAAACATTTTATTTTAAAACTAACCTTCTGTAGGTTTTTGCATTCCCTGTTTAAAAACATTCACATGTAAGAATCCGTATTATCCCCTCAAATAAACTAAGATTGCTTTCCACCTTACTGGGATCATTACTTAAAGGCAGCACTAGTCTTATTTTAGACATTATCGTGATGGGTCCCGTCTAAGTACAGTGGTTTTGACCGCTTTCTAAAAATGTAAACTATGACACCAGCAAGGAATTGTCTACACAGACATTATTCAACTGTCATTAGAAAAAGGCAAGAAGTTAGATTTTTTCAGCAAAAAAAGAGTTTTTTGGCATGGCCTTACCAGGTTACTGGGTCCCTGCTGGGTAATAACTGCACAAGAACTTAACCAAAAAAGTTTAATCTCCTACACATAATGAATTTCTAACTTCTCTTGACTTCTCTATTTAGCATCTTCCAAATCTTCGACTTTGGTATCTCCTGCATCTGCAAGTATTGTCAAAGAAAATAAATGAAATATTACTGACACCAAAAAAAGGCTCTTGAAGTTAACCATTTAACTCCCAATATCTACCAGGGTTCGCAAATACGCCAAATTTGGCGTATTTTATGCCAAAATTGTTCAGATGACTCCACTGAGGTTACGGAGGGAGTCACTTCGACTCCAGAAATTTTCGGTAACAAACAGGGAGCCACTTCGACTCCGGAAATTTTCGGTAACAAACACAGTTTTGTCCTTACCTTTTTCGCAACAAATACAATTTATGTTAATTATTGTAAATGTTGTAAACCTTAATAAAATCATCGAAAGTAAAGTAAAACAGGAAGAGGGTAAATTACTCAATGACAGCCATCATGGATTTGAGCTTTCCAGGTCAGCGGACTGCCACAGCTACTTCGTGTATCCCTCACGATAGTGTATACATGCCAGGACCACGTGCTGGAAAGTCTGAAAATGGCTTTTTTCATTGTGATACTTGACTCCAAATATTCCAAAATGACTCCAAAATTTGTGAAGCGGAAGTCACACTGACTCCACTCATCAATAAAATTTGCAAACCCTGATCTACCCACAATGTATCCAGACTGATCTCCAAACATTTCCTTTAAAAATTAATTGAGAGAATTTGATAAAAAATGAAAGCATTTTCCCTTAAGTGATCATTTTATTAATTCCTGAAACCTCTCCTTTTGATCCTTTACTGATACTGTTAAGGTTAGGTGGTTTATTTCTTATGACTATGGCAAACAACTAGTATATGTCATGACTTCACGACACATTGTGTTGTGTAAATTAGACCCAGGACATCCACACAACAGATCTTCACCACTCGAAAAATGTTGTAGCAACTTGAAACATGTTTTAAAGTTTGTGCGACAATGGTAACCACAAACAATGTGTAGTTCCAGAAAATATCCAGACCCCCACCACGGAGGGAATTTCACTTAGGACCCCCCCACCTCCCTGGATTTTCCATTTTTGCAGGGAACTGATGACCCCCCACCCCTTCGGAATTTCCACAAGTGTGACAAAGACCCCCCAACCCCTCTGGAAAAGTTTATTTTCACGAGAAAAGACTATTATATTAGAAGAATGAAGCAACTTATGGTTAGTACCCAACGGTTTCCATCAGAAGCTTGTATGCTTCTGTTTCCATTTATTTGAGTGATCTTGCAACATTAAAACACACTACACCGCCACAAAGTAACCTGATCTGTAATTGTTGCTCATCTCTTACTTTAAATGAAAGAGAGAAAGTTAATAAGTCGGTTATATTTGTGAATTCACCTTAATCAGGGCAAGCTTACGACTTGTTATTCGTCTCATGGGCGTAATGTTGATAGAATTAACGCCATTTCGTGCGGGAATGCAGAACAAGTCAAACTTACGACCACAAAATTAATGTAAAACAAAGAGGAGAATAAAAACTCTGAATTCTGAAACGATAACAATGAATACCCCCTGCATCTTGAAGGTACTTGAAGGGAAACCAAGTTCAATTTACTATTTTTCGATCGACTAATGCGACGTGATGCGCGATGGCCGTATAAATGTTTGGTGAAATTGACACCATTTCAGCGAGAATTCGATCACGAACATGCGACACGTTCAACCACAAAATTAAGGGAAAATGAAAAGGAGAATGAAAACTCAACATTCTAAAATGGTTGCAATGCATAGCTTGTGCTTTGTGAAGCAAAATTGCCACTCTTCTGATCTATCAATCGACTCATGACGCAAAGTGATGTGTTGCGTGATGTGTTGCACGCGTTGATGTGTTGAGGAAGACTGGTAACGAGTAATGGTGGCCGAATATACGAGCATGCGATAAAACGAGTTGTAGTCGGTCTAATTCCTTTGAAATTACATCCAAAACGCTTTTGGAAGAAAGGAAACCTGGTTGAGATCAAAAGGAACAATCTTAAGTCATATATTTCAAGTTATTTATGTCCTAAAAATGATCTACCAAGTCGGTAAGAAGCAATGTTCGAACTCAGGTCGAAAACGAAATGATATTGCCCCCCTGGAAAGTGATTTTATGGTCCAAACCCCCTCCCTTCAGGAATTTCCTGGGCCTCTGACCCCCCCACCCCCCTGGAATTTCCAATTCCCTCTGTGGTGGGGGTCTGGATATTTTCTGGAACTACACAATAAAGAAAAGACATGTTATGAGCTTTTAGTGACAAATTTTGAGATGAGAATGGGAGGGTGTAAGAAGTCGCTTGCACATATTTAGCTTTTCATGTTTGAACTGGAAATTACATGATCTGCATGTACAAAAATGGCAGACTCAGAAAAAGTCACTGTTTCCTGTCATAAATCAACCTCAGCCAGCAAGATGTCTTGGACTGAAGAAGAAAAGGAACACCTGAGATCACTGTGGAGTGGGGAAGACCTTTTATTTAACTGCCAAAACACTATTTCAGAAAGAAAACAAGACACAGCCATGGCCGACACAAATCTGATGTCAGCCACTTTTGTGACATTGCTTGCGTTATTCCAGGCTGTCCTACGTGACAATCGTGCGTGTGTGGATGGTCGTAAGTCATGTCATAAACAAAGTCATCTGCGATAGTCATAATCAAAAATTGCACTGTCTAAATCGGCCTTTAGGGTGTTCTTAAGGACAGTATCCAAGTTACAAAGGGACACTAGGAAGTTTGACATCATAAACGTGCAGTGGAATTCAAAGAAATGTACCAAAAAGTGTGATGTACATGAACAGCTGTTGTTTTGCCCATAAAAACCATTGCTTTTTTGAAATGCTCATTGTTACTATTGTAGTGGTTGTTTTATAAGCTTCCTATTATTGACTATATGTATGTTATGAACTGGTTATTATCAGTATTATTGGGGACCTTAAGCAACCAGAATCTTGATGTCGCGGATGCCAAAAATGGCAACCAGAAGTTGATATTTTCTCTCTTTCAGTGCTCTGACTTGACAATTTGTACCGTGGGATTTAAACCAAAGGAATTCAGATTCGATGCATGGGACAGAATCAGTGAGACATCAAACTCCCGGTTGCTATTAATGACGTCCAGGATATCAGCACTCTCATTGCTTAAGTGACTTACATTGATACACAAGTTATGGTCCCTAGACTTTATTTTTTGACCGAAAACGTTGCTGTAATAACCAACTAACTGAACTTGAAAAGCCAGCTTCAAGAGGCCTTGACTTTACACATGCTTAGGGATCGATGGGATAAAAGCAATGCCAGGTGGCATTTCAGGGGGTAAACAAGTGATAAAATTTGCCAATGAGTAATCACGGTCTAGTTTGTTTATTCTATTATAATGAGACGATGATTGATAATCATGCAAAATCTACAGTTTGAGTATTGATGAGATTTCTATCATTTTGTTTACTGTGAGGACATCTATTGTCAAGGAACTGAGAAGAGTTGAAAAACTACACCAAAAGCTACACTAAAGCTACACCAACTGTTGAGAATTACGCTGTGTCTTTGTGTGTGATTCATAGACCACAGTCACTGACACTTCGATGTAGTGCACTGTTTTCTTTTATGCCTTTTCTAACACCAAGGGATAGGGAAAATTGAGGGGGACTTTCTCCAAGCAAACTTACTGTTTCCGTCATAAGCTCCATTGCTGTATAGCTAAGCGACAACATTTCCGAAATTGAGTCGTCTATAATACTTTTTAGAGCCAAAATTACAATTTCAGGTTTTCGATGAGGGCATTAATTTTTCTTCTTTGGCCAGAGCAAAGACAGTAAAGATCATGCTCTTACCAAAACATGCTGACAAAATTCAATGCCATAACCTCTTCCATGACTTTGACTGTAATTGGCCATTTCCTGTTTAGGCTTAATACAATAGCTCTGTTTTCCCGGTCAAATATTCAAGATCGACAACACTCCAGTCAATGCTTCTTTGATATTTTGATTTTGTTTTGGGGAGAAGATTGTTCAGTCAGTTGGAAACCTCCCATGGGAAATTTCCAAATATTTGATTGAGGGGCATACATTCTGATCCAATCGGCATGATCTGTACGCTGGCATACGGACTACTCAAAAAGGCCGCCAGTCTGAGCAGGCAGTTTCTCGTTGCTTCTTAGTACCCCAATCTCCTCAAAGTTTCAGTGGCTTTGCCGGTCTTAGCTTATTGGCATGCCTCATCAGAACCATCATGCTATGCAGGCTATGCACAAAATTGCAAAGGCGCTCACTGGTAGCCATGCTTTCCTCCAAGGCAATGCTCCCCTTTTAGGCCATAGGCCCTTCCACCTTCAGGTCCTTTCGCTCCAAATTAATCATCCAAAGAAGTAACAATGATCACTTTTAATTTGCCATGACCGTCTTTTAGATGAAAAGTTCTTCATTTTCTGTTGTTTAGAATAAACAAACTCGACAGGGATTTTTTGCACCGACAAGGTTTTTTTCACTTGTTTGCCCACTGAGAAAACCATGTCTGACATTGCGTTTTAACACATCAGTACCTTAGGCAGGTGGATAGAGGGTAGGTATGGTGAAAACAGGGTCTATTGACATTGCATACCTTGGTCTGATGTCCACAGTGTCAAATTGTCCCTCAAAAGCTGCATAATCAAAGTGCTGTCCTTGTATGAGTCTTCACTCAAGGTGTCAAGCTCAGCAATGGCTGTGTCAAAGGCAGTTTTGGCTAGTTCGCAGGCTTTCGTCGGGTTATTGCAGAGCTCATAAAAGAATACAGAGTAGTTTAAGTACAAACCCAAGCGAATAGGACTTGTTGTAGGAAGATGATTAGCTTCTTCGACTGCAGCTTTGTAGGCATCTAGAGCATGATCAGATGCTGATTTTTGAGCTGGATCTTTTTCATTTTCCTCGGACTTTTCTTCTTTACCAATTTCAGCTAAATATCGATAGTAGTCACCCTTCCTGTTTGAAAAAAAAAACACAAGAATCGCCGAATGTCAATTTTAACTGGGCTGCCAAGGGGCAATTTTTTGTGAGGGGAGGGGGTGGCTGTACGCGCTCAGGCTCCCATAAAACCTTGTCGCCTACCACTGCGTGACACAGAATTTCCTGAGAGTGAAACATAAACTCATTTGAACATTGTAACCTTTTTGAAAGACTTTTGTAACAAGAAAAATGAGTACCATTTTTAAGTTGGGGCTGTATAGTAACTTTTAAATTCCACCATTATGAATAAAAATAAGCAAGTTAGCCATTCTAAGCAGGAAACAATTAGCACTATTTTCATGCAATTCTGGTTCTTAAAACTGACCAAGCAAATTACATTTCAGTTTTGTTTTTGTCTCATATTGCATTTAAAGCCTTTCCTGTAAGGAATGACTTTTCACACACAGAGCAAAAATCGCAATACGATAAAAAGAGAACCTTGAAACAGAGAAACACAAAACGGATTGAACTCCACAAATCACAAACCATGACCTTTTGAACCCGTTGAGTAAAGTTTTGTTTCCTAAGAGGTCCGTTAAGATAAGATGATTGACAGCAGTGAAAATGGAATCGTCGGTTGGCTTCTGAACTTCAGAATTCGCATGTTTGTGAAAAGTGCAGTAAATAGAGGATCCTAATTTGCGGTCTACAGTCTACATGAAAATGCAATTCTCAGTTTCAATAAAGCTGAAATCGATAGTCCGTTCGGTTGAACAGTTCCTAGCTGGATAATCCCTCACTTATCAAAGGAAGTAGAAGAAGGATTCGCTTTGCATCTTACACGTTCGCTCTCATACTAAAGCTTACGCTTGTCAAAGTTATATGCATTTGTGCTTGCTACCTTCACAAGTTTACAATTTGAAGAGCAGAGGACATTGCTCTCGTTCGGCCTGTGTTTGGCAAGCTGTTTTAAAAAAACGAGGAATTCGAAATTCAAGGAAGAACTCAAACGCAGGATTAAATAAACGGACAACAAGTCGAGACATTCCATTCTGTTCGTTGATTCATTGATTGATGTTGCACTGGATATTGACAACTAGAATCGTATTGGTGAGCTAATAGAAAGCCTTACAGCTTACGACGTAGTGCTTGTACAAATCGAAAGCAACTTTAACTTCAAAAAGCAACCTATATGTTTGACACAATGATCGTGTTATACCGTGCAAAGTTGCAAGCAAGATCTTAACACGTTCCTTTGTCTCTACCACGCAAAGGAAGACAATGGCTGCGATGTTAATGTGGCAAGTACCTAACACGCAGCTAACGTGTTTAAAGCTAGTTCTTTTGTTTTAGCGTGTGAGCGTGCCGTGTGCGTGCGTTCACCTCATTCCCTGAAATCCCGTGGGGGGTCACAGAATCACTATTCACAGTCCTTGGATATTAAAATGACTGAACGTGACGCACTATTGTGACTTTGTTTACTTCTGATCACATCTTCAAGCGAAGTCTCTATTATCAAGCGATTCATCTCAATGCACAATAATTGACCTTTATATTAGTTAAAACCCTATGGTTCATTTACTGAGTATATTACTGCTGTTTTTTTTTTCCCCTCACATTGACTGTGTTTGTTCGTATTCAAAACACCATTAGGAAAATAAAGGTCATATAAGTCATGTGTATTATGTTTCGAGATAAATGGATTATACGCTTTTTTAAGTTTCCATTTTGCGGCGACTTCAGTTTACATCTCCATAAAATGGTAGAAGAAATATCAAGAAACATCACGAGAGCTGAAAATTTTCAAAGGCATGTTTATGGAACTCGCTAATGCTGACATCAATATAGCGTGCTTGCTGAATGGGCGAAAACACAGAATTGTGATCCCAAGATCATGTACAAATTTAATGATAAAAGTTTAGCAAGATACAGATACAAACAAAAGCAAACTCCCTGAAACCTCGACATGGGCTACACTTGTATGCTCTACTCAGTCACCAAACCTTGTCAGTAATAGCTCCTATTTCCCCCAAGTCAAGCCTTGAACTTGTGTACGAAATTCTCAGAGTTCCTATTTTTGTCTGTGTCTTCTTTATCCTCAGTATCCGAAATTTAGACCTCCAAATTAAATAGAAGGAAATATTTAAAGGAAAAGCCAGTCTTCTAACATGGGAAAGTTGTCACGTCCCTTGCTCATGGTTGGCGTAACATCAGGATTCATCTCACATTCATCCGCAACTGAGTTGTTTGTTTCACTGACTACGACAGCTTACAAAAGTCTTCAGCCATAGTGTCGTCAACTAGTGAAATACTTTGCTCATAAATTGTGCTTCTTAAAGCTGCTTGCTCAAGTACTACATCGATCGATAATTCTCTCTTTGAGTTCACAAAGCGGCCCCGGCGTTCCAAACCTGACGCTCACAGTCATCTTTTGGTGTGAACCTACCGTGAACGGCGTGTCGGTTTGTATGCAACGTGAGCATTTCTCTGAGTTTCCCAGCGCCAACATCATCTAACTGACTTAACCCTTTCACTACTACAGGCTTTTGGCCCCCAACCCCCCATCTTCCTGAACAATTATCAAGGAGCTAAGATGGCTGTGATACTTAATCAAAACATGCATGCTCAGTAGATTTCAGAGCCTTGTTTCACACAATTAATTACACAGACATGAAGCCAAGAAGTCATTGTATAAGTCTAAACAATTAATAAAGATAACTATCCCTGCATTCACAAGATATTTAAGATAAAATCGCAAGTAACGAAAAATAATTCAAATTTGCCGCCATTTGCAGTTCCTATTGTCAGACTTTGAATGAGAATTTCTTTGTAATCCATCACAATATGGCTTACTTTTTTACAGCAAAACAAGGGAAATTATTAGAATATAACAAATATGCCAGATTTGTGTTCACAAAGCCAGTTTTAACTGTGCAAGACTAAGGCATTGTCATAGCCTGTTCGGCATAGTGCTACGTTGCAAAATGCTATATTCGTATCTTGTTTCCACTTTGTAGTGTTTAGCCCTTGAGGGTTCTTCGCCCTGTTTATGCACTGTATACATTTCCTTTTTCTGCCCTCCATACAAGCTGAAACATATTGATTTGAGGGTACAGCATGGTTCAGTTTGGAATTTTGTTCCATCTACGCTTTCGCTTTCATTGCAATAAACCATCGATCGTTGGTGTGCGAGGTCAAGTTTGAAATCAAGTGTTTTGCGCTTCGATCCAATGCGTTCCGATTCAAGAACAAAAGCATTACAAACAAATACATAAAAGAGGAACCAAAATATGTATCTATACCCCTTTTTTGACTGCTACCCCAAACAAATAAATAGAACGAAGCTGATCAACACGATCCACGCCGCCCATGCGAGAAGTGTAAACATCTGAAATTGAAACTCTCAGGTTTATCACTTGCGGTTAAGTTGTTGTCGCTTTTACTGTCTTCAGACTCACTTTCGCCGCTTTCCTCCTTAGAAAATTCTTACACTTCAATGTCAGATAAGTCTGCATCAACATTCACATCACTAAAACTTAAATTACTCTTACTATCATCGTCAGAACCAAAAATCGCATTGATTCGGCGGCGGCCATATTGACAAACAAAGATAAAATACAAGCCTAAAGCACGTTCAAATCTACTGAATATCTATAATTATATTATAACTAGCGAACGAAATTCTTTTAAAATCAAATAGACAAAAGAAGGAAATGCTCAACCATCTGGCTTTTGGTGTGTTTTATGGCATAAGAGAAATCCAGTGTACGAATCCCGTGCGAAGGTTCACGCACGTACGTCTTGGAGCGAAGCCAAACTTCGGCCCTTCACTACTCGCCTCATGCAATAGTTTTGTATGCGCACTTCTCCTGATTTGATTGGTTTGTGCCTGCCCATAACAATGGAACAATCAATATTGACAAAGACTGCCTTACCTAGGGTATACAGCGCATTTTTTTGCACCCTTTTCTCGTGGCCGCTTTTGGCCGCTCTAGGAAAAATGTGGCCATTTCCGGCCGGCCGCTTTTGGCCGCTTTAGTAGTGAAAGGGTTAAACTCGAACAATAAAAAAATTATAATTAAAAACTACGATCGAATCGCTTCGAACAACGTAAATAGCCTTCATCAGGTTCGCAACGCCTTGTGGGTTTTTCAGGGGGAGCGGAGACGAGGTACAAAAAGTATCCGTGCAAGGCTCGATGCAAGGAAAAATCATATGAAACCATTTTTGAGAACATCGTTTCTTGGTACCAGACCCTCGTGTCTTCCCTCCCCCGGGAGGCCGTTTTTTGCCACAGATGACCGAAAACCGAATTTATGACTGGGCTTGCCGGGCAGCCCAGTAATTAGTCAGAAGAGCATTTAGTTCCTTTATAGAGGAAGGAGACAATGAAAAAGTGCAGTACGCTAGCTTCAAAAACACATCTTCATCTAATGGTTGCCTTTGCTTAACATGCTTTATTGTTTCTAAGTTAATAATTGATAGTGTTCATTGTGACAACATAAATCTGGTGGGGGGAAGGGGGGGGGGATTACTCCTTTACATTAATTAACCTAAACAGGCTTATGGATATTGTTCTGATATAGGAGAGCCGGAAGGCACACCTCCACCCCTTCCACGAAGAAAATGGAACATATTTTATAAACTGGGCTGGCCAACTGGGTTGGCCACAGGCAGCCCAGTTAAAAATTCTAACATTGAAGTACAAAGAACTGTTTCAGTATTTTTTCATTAGAACCAATAAACCTAAACACCTGTGATGAGTGTCACTAAAGGGCTCGAAATTGTGACTCCTATAGTTGCAATTATGAATTTTTTCTTTTACATTTGCAATTTGCTCAAAAATAAAATTTTAGCCGCTAAGGGCTAAAATTTGATTTAGGGCTGAAACCATTGTGACACACATGTCAGATGATACGACCGCTGAAAAAAATAATATCATAATAAAGTTAAATATATGTTAGCCTGCATAGCAAGTGTTTCCGCGCAAGTTTGTCGAGAAAGTTAGAACAAGGGCAAAAAAAGAAGGAATGAGGGGAGAGGGGGAGGGAGTGAAGGAAAGGCTTGCCCACAAACCCCATGATTTTGAAAAACTCCGTTCGCCCACAAAGGCAGCTTTTGATTGGTGCGGTGCTGGTAGTGTTGATTAAATAGCAATCAATACATCAATCAAACCAGGTATGTTTTGTTTACGTACGCCACAGGTCTGGTCTGATCTGATTTGTGGTCGCAGATTACAAATGCTTTAGTCTGATATTTATTTGAATCATGTTTGTGCGAAGGTTTATCAGATCTAAGTCCCTTGAATCAAAAGTACAATTGGAGATCGAGCAGTGGAGACCAGTGAAGGCCAATTTATTTCAAATGACGGGGTGCGTATCTGAGTGGAAAAAATGGACTGTTTGTTGGAGATAACATCAATGTAAATCAGAACATCGAGTACTAGACACTAGCTAGAGCACCCATGGACAAGTGATTGAAAATTGAGCGGCATGTATTGTAGTGAACTTTTCGACACTGGCTGGCCTAAAGAGAGCAGCTGCTCTGCAAAACTCATAGCCAGCAGATTAAATTGTTCCGGACAAATCATTTCTTTGCGACGTTTTGACAAGGTTTCAGATGAGATAAAGCCACATAATGTTAAAATTTTAACTCAACTATAAAGAATAAGAAATTCCGCAGCAATCACTTAGAGTTTCAACCTTCTTTTATAGTAAAGCTTCTTTTTATTACAGTTTTACAATCGCGTGGAGCGTGTTTTAGGGAACAAAGTAATTTTTTCAAATCTGGTAATCTATTCGTTATCTATCTTGATGAGCTGTCAATTTACAAATGAACCGAACCGTGAAATATCAAGGGGCGTTTTCCAGAATCGTGGGGTTTGCGGGCAAGCGTTTCCTCTTCTCCCCTCCCCCTCCCCCTCCCATTTTTTTTTTGCTCCCGCTTTAACAACTCGACTGTAAACGCTTACTACGCAGGCTAAATATATGTGTAATACATGCGTTATAATATTGTTTTACAATAAAGATCAAATTGTTAAAGTATAAGAGATTTTAAGATGGAAGGTCTTGCAGAATATGCAATCTTCAGTATTTACAGAATACTTACATTTTCAGAAAGAAAACTTTTGCTTCAGCTGCTTTTTTTGGATCTGCTGTGCCAGACGATTCTTTGGCAATGAGATAATCTTCAAGGAGACCGAGGATTTCTTTGCAAATTTCCCTCAATTCTTGTTCAATTTCTTCCTTGTAACCCCTGTTTACTTCTTTTAATTTACTTTGACAGGCATCTACGATGCGCCATGATGCTCGCCGAGCACCAATTTTATTCTTGTAGGCCACGGACAAAAGGTTACGTTCTTCAACAGTAAGTTCCACGCCAGTCTTCACCAGCCTCTTCATATGTTCTGCCATATCTATAGAAAGTAGGCAAAAATACAAAAATTATATTTTTCTTAAAAACAATGCTGTGGTACCTTAGCACATGCAGAATCTCTGTAAGATTTCAAAACAAGTTGTATATTCTTGAGCAAAACACAAGACTAGAGAGTTTGTCCCCTGAGAGGACATAATTATGTGCTTACTGGTGCAATGAATTATAATGAATAGTCTGTACTTGGTTCATAAGCTACAATTGTAGTTCTGTTGCAAGGACAATAATGGACAGTTCACAGACACCATGTTGATTGTGAAAGTGGCTATTTTTCAATCGAGTAATGTTCATTTTTACTGAAATCCTAAAGTTCAATTCATCACTTTAGAGAATATAATTCTCTAAACATGGCACGTTAATCACAAAGAGCAACTTAAGAAAGAAATCAAGAAAACCCCGACCCATTTCAGATTCTGTCGGTCTTATTTCACGCTTCAGGGAGTAGGGCTTACCTATGGACTACAGAAGATGGCATAATGCATTACTGGCACCAGTAATTAACCACAAAAAGAAAAAAAAAAAGAATCTGCTGAATAAAGGGGGATGCCAGGTACCGAACCTGTACTTCTGCTCTGGATGTTAAACGTTAATGCCATGTTTTATAGGGACATTTACTTTCAAACGGGCAAATTTAAAATATCTGATACAGTGGAACCCTGCCTAACAGCCACCTTGGTAATACAGCCACTTCAAGGCTGTGCTCTAAGGAAAATTTCAGGGAGCCCTTCGGGCTCCCAAGCATTTGAGCTATAGGCGCCAGACCTCAAAGTTAGTCGCCCGAGTACATCTGATGAAGAAGTATTTTGTACACACACAAATCTTACTGGCCTGCTTATCACCAAACTTGGTAATTTTAGCTTTTGGGTGCGACAAAAACCCGCACGTTGTCTTATGAAACCTATCAAAGTTTTCGTGCCGTTCAGATTTAAAACCAAAAACATTAGCAATGCCGCCGAATTGTTCAGGTTTTAAAGAGGGAAAAACAAAAATTGCAGCAGGTTTACGTAAACTTCATTAAGATGTTTGAGTCAAACATAGGAAAACTGTGCTTTTTTACCAGTAATATTAAACTTGAAAATAAATTTTTGAAAGGTGAATCAATGCAGCATGAAATATAAAGTGACGGAGTTTACGCGGCAGATCGAACTCAAGTTCCCGTGAAAAATTCCGCGAAACAGTGAAACCGCCGCAGCCCCAAACCTATCATTTTAATAAAAAATAAGTCATCTTTAATTTTCTTTTCTATATTATCAGTGAATCTTTTAGGATAATTGAGCTTTTTGTGGATACGGTCGAAGTGTAAACCAGCTCTTCTCTTCTCTTTTTTTGGCCGCTAAATTTAGCCTATATATGTAAAATGCCAAGACAACGTGGAACTGCCCTGTTACATTTCAGTTTTCAATCAGAACAATCATATCTTTTCTTTTGATATTTCGTTATCTTATGTAAAGGGAAGAAAACAATCATAAGTTATGTTTTAGCCAAGCAGACACAACAGCCAAAAACCGTAAAAATATTAAATTTGCATACTGGTCAATACAGCAACTTCCGTTTTATGCAAAAATAAATTACTCCTCGTCGCCAGGCGCGTTCTACGCCTGTCAGAAAAGTATTAACAATTTCTCCTAAAAACTGTACCTAATAAACCATTCTATCTGAAAGAAAAAATTTTAAAGCTATTTTAAGAAGCAGTACAATAAATTGATCCATGCCGCTTTTCACGTTCACAGTGATGTATTATGTTACATGTGAAATCACGCAGAACGACCTTTGAACATCGATGCGCGCCCGTTTCTTTTGTTCAATATTCTTAAAAACATTTTCTGTAGGGTTTAGTAAACTCTGGCTCAACAAGCCAACAATGGTATGTTAAATTTTTCTGCCCACTTAACTGAACACTGCACTAGAAGCAAGAGTGCCCGGCCAGGCGACCGGGAATTTTTTTTCAGTCGCCCGAAGCTAATTGTTAGTCGCCTCAGGCGACCGGGCGCCGTTAGAGCACAGCCTTGCACTTCGTCATCACAGCCACTTTTTTTGACCTGGCAAAACAGCCATACATTTTCTTATAAAAACCCTCATTAATACGGTTACCCATTAACATATCGGCCAATGGCCACATTTAAAAATCTCAAACAGTAGAATCTTTTTCAATTTCACCCCAATAATAGAGCCACACATCAGAAATGTTGAAAATTAAAATGCCTGTGACATATCAATTTCATTGACCTAAAACACTGAGCTTGTTTTTGTACTGCTTTTAGACTATAGTCACTTGCTATGTATTTGCGGAAGTCAAATAGCCGATTTTTTACAGTGTTTTATGAACTAAAGGAAAGTTTCAAGTAGTTTTTATGATTACGGTAGAGAGATATCTACATCATAGTAACTGATTTATTGTTATAGTTACAACAAAAGTTTACATAGCAGAACCAGGCATAAAATCATAATATCCATGTATCAATTCTAGTTTTGATTCATATGATTTTAGTCTCCATGCTGTTCCAAATTCTTTACAAACCACACACCAAATCTTGTTAACAACTCCGTCGTCATTGTGTTCTTTCCCCAACTCGATTTCAAGCTCCTCCCACTTCCGAACCGTTTTTAACGAAGCCGTTTGCGGAACACCTGAGGCTTTTGCCTTTTTAGGCAGTGGCTCACTCCTTTCTCCATTATTATTGCTTGTAGCAGCACCAAAAAACTTTGTAATGTCTGACATTTTTCACCATTTTTGTGATTTCCTGCGAATTACGCGAAAGCAAGGAACACCTGGGGATTCTGAAAGCTAGTTCCTAGTCCCATGCAATATTTGATGTAAACAACATGGCGGCCAGCCGAAAGTTTTTTCTACTCTTTGCTGCAGTTTGCTGCCTTTTTAAAAACCCATTTACCAACAGAGATCAAGTTGACACATTTTGCTATTTTGAAATTAATTTTTCTACACAGTATACGAGGCAGTTGGCTAGAAAATGCAAGTGATTTTTTTCCACACTCGATAATCGCAAGTTTGGCTCCCATTTAGCAAGTTAGCTTGTGGGAATTTCGAACCCTGGTCAATGGCACATCCTACAAATATTGCACAGCTTCTTCGCCTTTTCACTTTCTTCCTCACTTACTATGAGGAAACCTCTTTTTTGGGAGTTTCCAGATAGCAATACCTCACAGCTAAAAGCAGAACTAATGCCCAGAACCAAACAGCAGCAAACAAACAAGCTGTTTGTTTACAGGAAGTAGCATACCAAATGCTATGGCATCAATTGTCAGAAAGAGAAAAACTGGCAATAAAGGAGACATTAAAGCGGCAAGTCACAAGATCAATGATCCCATCTCAGTCTCTTATTTTTTCTTCACTCAGGCTTCCACCCTTGTACCTCCTGGTTTCACCGCTAACCTCTCACAAATGCTCTCAATCTACAGTGACTCAAAAGAAAATTTAATAGATTGCTTGCAGTTCTCATTTCCAAAACGCTCTAGTGGAGCATGCCCCCAGATCCTGCGAGATACCCTCAATTAACTTGGGCAGTCATTGATTCAAAACCCCTTACTTTATGCCCTAGCTATTAGTTCACTCCACAACATGATGATTTTTTCATGTAAGAATATTTCTCGACAACTAACTGAATTATGCTGAAGATCCGAACTAAACCGAGCAAGTCATGGAGTTTGAGCTATTTTGAAAAGGGACAATGTCATGCAGCTAGCTATTAAGTGGAAACCGGCAGGAAAAAAGGGGGCGTTTTATTGACTCGAATCCAGCGAGCTTAAGCTTACAGTTATGCCGTGATGCGATCAATCGCAGTCACCCAACCTTGTGACGTACTGTACAAAGGCTTCTAAAAGCTGTCACTGAATTTCTGACAAAACACGAGGGCTTTTACTTACACCCTCTCGTGTTTGCAAAATAAATAACTAAGGCGAAATACTATGTCTAAGATTTGTGTGAAGGGCGCAAAGAAATTCAGAGCGTCGTGCTGTTTAAAATGGCGTTGCTTCTCGAAATAACTTCTTGCTGTATCTCAATTTTTAACACCGACACGGCCCGATTATAACTATGAACATTTCACCTACCTTCATATCGCTCAGCTTGTTCAGTAAGTTTCGCCATAAACACCTCGCTCTCCCTGTCTAGGACTTCGTCTGCCATTTTGGTACCAGAAGAAACAACGTTACGACAAAACTCTACAGCTCGTAAGCGCCGGCCGCTCTTCGAAGAAAGGGCGTCGACTTGGCTGATCACCAGACCCCGAGCAACCCCGAGCTCAGTTTTGTTAATTACCAGTCTCTTCCACCAAACTCGCTATCGCCAAAGCCCAAGTTTTCACAATTGCTCTTGCAAATGGAAAAACTTAAACAGTTTTCCTTGATAAGTATTCTTTTGGTAACAGTGCGAACAAGGAGACAGCGACAAGGCGTACGATATTTGAAACCTAAACGCAGAGGTGCACTCGAACGCGTAAACAATTAAACCGGCTCGACTGGTTCTTTCTTGTAGTGGGAATATTAAATACGGTGCCCGAACAAGCATTGTATTCAATTTTTCTTGGGACGGCTGTAATACCCAGGAGAAACGAAAAACAAAAGATGTGCAAAATTTGTAGCCTGCGTAGCAGGCGCTTGGAAGTAGTGGGCGATGAGAGAACGGGCGCGCGCGAGGGAGACACGCGACGGGTGTCTCCTTCTCGCGCGCCCGTTTTCTGTTGTGCTCACTACTTTTAAAGGATACAACGACTTACTGCCACTTGCTCTGGTTGATCAAGTGACACAACGAAGTTGTAGATCTGCTACGAGATTGAAACATGGACTCATTGTTTGGGTAACCGGTTAATTGCTTTAACCGCGGCAGGGTTAGCTCAGTTGGTAGAGCGCTTGACAGCAGAGCGGGAGGTCGCGGGTTCGATTCCCGGGGCCGGACCAATACTCTGAGAAATAAAGGTACTTCCTTTGCCCTGCAGGCGGCTGGACCTTCGCGTGGCTCGGATGACCACGTAAAATGGCGGTCCCGTCTCCATTAGGAGACGTAAAATATGTTGTTCCCAATTAGCACTTTCGTGCTTAATACACTGACACTCAAATAAAGTGCCTTTTTTTGAGAGGGGGGGGGGGGGGCAAAAATATATGAAAAACCAAGGGGGGCCGTCCCTGGGAGGGGGTGGAAAGGCAAGGGAAGGATCTTATGAATCAGTTTGGGGGGGGGTCGACTTTAAGTCTTTCCTTTAAACTGTTGAAGAGTTACGTTTTTATGGTTTTTATTTTTAATGTTTTGGCCCTAGATGGGAAGAGGGCTGTGTGGACCGTTTGTAGTAGTAGACATAATATTTTTTGTGCAGAATTAGTGGTTTGAGGAAAACACAGAGAGAAACAAAAGGAGGGTGGTTTTGGGGGGGGGGGGGGGGGGGGGTCAGAATATATGCAAAACACAGAGGGGCCGTACCTTGGAAGGGCTTGGAATGCAATGGGAAGATCTTATGAATCAGTCTTGGAGTGTGTCGACATTAAGTCCTTCACTTAAACCGTTGAAGAGTTACGCTTTTATGGATTTTAACTTTAATGTTTTAGCCCTGCAGACAATCAATTATAGAAGTAAGAGTTTCAAATACTTTTAACCTTGTCATGTGCCATAATTTCTATTTTTAACAAGAATTTTAGATGTGAGGTTTTTGATGTTTCAACTTTGTCAAGTACACATTATTGAATATTCTTATTGTTTTTTTTTCAATTATTTGTTCATTTTCTTTACTACACGACCCTACAAGCTGTAAGCTTTGACTTTCATCGTGTATAAATAAAGGTTGTGTGTATGCATGTATCTGTCCTGGTTGTTTATAAAGGGTCGGATAGCGGTATCCACAAGGTAAGTTTCTGCCCAGCGGATAACGTAATTGTGCGTAGCAAAAACACGGCTCTACACGGTGAGCAGTCTCTTATTTTTGTTTTTAGCCACAGTAAATCAAGAGCACGCGTAATGGGAGAGCGGCGAAGCATAATTTTACTTTCTTTTCAACTTGCCGAGCGTGGCTCTGGGAAAGAAAAAAGACCACTCGCGGTCTAACAGGGCTCAATGCAACTTCGCGTTCAGTTTGTTCTATGGTTCGTTGCTATGATTTACTCACTTATAACTTAAGAGAGAATGAATGTCACCCCGCTATAAGTATTCCACAGCCTCGCAAGGAATTTTAGAAAAGAAGTCTTTGTTATAGCGGTCATTAGCAGAGGTAGCCTCCCCGCAGACGTCCTTTGGGGTTCGTTTGTCACGCATTCATATGCGTGACAAACGAACCCCAAAGGACGTCTGCGGGGAGGCTATAGCAGAGGTGCACTTCTGGATACTCAAATACATATCGCAAATGTTATTGAATCTATGGGAAAAGTCCAAGGAAGAGCTTCACGGGGAGAAAAAAATGACGGGAGACATAAAACATTACCATGTATTGAAAGGCTTTATTTTTGTAATTTACACCAACAAGCTCAGAATTTCATCAAGTGAGGGTACTGCCCCTTTCTTAGTGAAAACAAAGTCTTCATGTACTTCTTGAGGTGTGGCACCTTGGAGATCTCAGGAAGTATTTGCTCATCCACTGTCTTTTGGTCTTCTACACGCTCCTCACTTGGTTTCCTCTCCTGAAACAGAACCAGTTATGTGGCTATATATGAAGGCTTTAATATGCAATTTAGTCTAAGTTCTACATTGTTGTCAGTCCCAGTCACAGGTGAGCTACATGATAAGCATGCACATGTGAGCTAGTCAACTGCAGGAGGGGAGTGTTTTTGTGTCGATCGCCACACTATTTTAAGACCCGCCACAATTTTTTCTATCCAGGGTGATCATTTTATTAATTCTCATATGTTATCTCTTGAGAGTGTATGGATAATGTTAGGAGATAATTGATGCTGGTCACTATTGGGACCTAAAGGGTTAAATAACACAACAAATACAAAAGATGACATTTATGATCTTTAACAAGATTACAGTTGGGGTTTTTGAAACTTGTTCGCCTTTGAAGTTTTTCTCAGTTGATTGCAACTTTTATCACAAGGCTTAGGACACATATTTGTTTGTCATGAAGCTATGATTTTGGTATTTTACAACATGTATTTTATTTTCTTATGATAAGTTCTGTAGTGAATAAGGGTAAGTAATTGGTAATACTAAACAAAATGGACTGGACTGACAAGTTAAAGTACCTCCTGAACATCTTCAAACATGTCCTCTGAGCGTTTCTTCTTCCTGGCCTCGCGTTTGAAGAAATCGTCAGTCAGGCGTTCAGGAAGCTTGAAGTTGCCCAAATCTATTTTAGTGTTCGTAGCAATTACATAAGCTTGGGAAATTCGCCTAAGAGGGACACCGTTCACCTTGTAGGGTCCTAAAAGATCAATGCACAGTTCATTAAAATGGAATACAAATGGATTAAATGTCAAACTTCACTTTACATAATAAATAGAATATTACATGGCCGCTTGGAGATACGAAATTTCTCTTCTCGTGTTGAAAAAATATTTCACTCATTCGCTGCGCTCACTCGTGAAATATTTTTCAACACTCAAAGATAAATTTCGTATCTCCGTGTGGCCATGTAATACCCTCTATATATCCTAAGCCTAATGCTGACTAGAAATACATATGTTCTGTTGTCTTGTTTTACTAACATCGGCTTTGCATGCAAGTTCAACTTAGGACCAAAGTACAGAGCTAAAAGAAACCAGTCTTTCATCCGGGGTAAGCATCAAGCTATATGTGGGTTTGCCTTGGTGTAACATGAATTGCATGGCAGATTTCAGGAAAAGCATATCCTGTAGCAAACATTTCCAATAGAGTTACATGTCCCAGCTTTCTCAACGAACTCACACGGAAATGCTTGCAATGCAGGCTAGAGAAAGCAAGGATTTGATGGTAAAAGCCGAACTGAAACACTCTTCCAGTTCTAACAAACATATCCCTCGACCAATGTTCGTCTACCATGATTTTATGCAACTCAGCCAAAAAGCTACTCTAGGATAGTGGGGGGGGGGGGGTTGGGGGGGTTTGGTCCAGATAGGGGTGGCAAAATTCGGGGGCCCTGCCTTGGGTGGAGGTAAGGGGTCCAGGGGTTCCAGCGCCCCACCCCCGCTAAAAAATCTTAAAACCAAAGTACCCTGCCCCCCCCCG